AGGCAGATAATAGCTGAGAATTTGAACATGTCAGTAAACCTGACTTTGACTACTGGACCCCAACAGGGACTGAACCATTTGATATTTAAACCTCACAACAAAATAGTGCAATAACTTTTATTATTCACATGTTGTGGGTAGGAAAACTTACCCAGAGGTAGACAGGGGGATTAGTGGCAGATTGGGAAATAGAAGTCAGGTCTAAATACTCAAGGCGAAAATACCAGCTATTTAGAGTTAGGGCTCAGGAAGGAACATATTTAAGGTAAATAATGGAGAATCAATTGACCCCTGATTGCGTCCAAGGTCTCACGGTAGTGAACGTTAATATTAACTCGGATAATGTCATTTGTTCCATAATACACTGCTATATCTAAGCACCTATGGGTGCACATAAGTGTGGATTATGGTAGCTCATAAGGAAAATAAACCTTAGTGCACCTTAAAGTGTATTTCTTCAGCTTGATCAGTTCATAGCATTGGGACAGCTGAGAAATTTGGGAAGCCAAGCAGCTAAGGCACTTATAGTTCACACACTCCACCATCCCTTTCCCCCTGTTCCTTAGATCAGAGCACATTCTACATACACATGAAGAGCACAGCATGTATTAGGAAGTACAATATGTGATTTGTACTATGTTATTGTAGCTTAGAGAAGACTTAAAATAATCACCTCCGCAGCAAAGGGTCCTGGCTTTTACCTGAAGAAGCATTAGGGTGGTAAAGTATAGACAATATGGAAACATAATGAACATTTTAAAACTTTCCAAATACTATAAGCCAAGAAGTAGTTAAAGATAAAGAAGCACGAAAAGAAAAATAAGAGAATGAAAGAAGAAAAGAAGAGAGATAGGGAAGATGGAAGGCATAGAAAGAAAGAAACTGTTAGGAATAAAGACAAAAATATAAATCTATATCTGGAATTCCATATGCAGGGTGCTGCTCCAGTAGGAAGCTCCTGCCTTCGACCTTCAGGTGGCCTTTGGTTCCGTGTCTTTAACTGCTAAATCCTAGGGACAATTTTGGATGAGAAAGGTGCACTGCATGTCTGCACTGTGCTGGACATATCATCAGCAATATCACCGCACCATGGCGCAGTTACTAGTTGCTTTGCCGTTGTTGACCACTATTTAATCCACAGTTTTCCAAGGAAACAGGATGACCCAGTGTCAGCATAGAAGTGCATCAAGAACAAAGGGCAGTCACGGTCCCACCTGGCCTTGACACGTCAGCCTCATCGCCTTACTGCGCATGCACAAAAGAGGACCTGACTGAGCATGCGCCTAACTCTCTCCACCAGCCGACATGTTTTCTGCTTCTAGTGGTGGAGCTGCACAGTTACCGGGAGATGGGAATGTGTGCTTCCCAAAGCACTTCTATCAGCCTAGTACTTGTTACTGGAATTACCAATCTATGTAACTACTATATAAACCAAGTAAATACAAGTTATTCTCACTTTGATAATTCAGATGACTATTTTGCAAAGAGTATATAAAATGAGTTCATACAAAAACTTATGAAATATTAGGGGTGAGAGGCAAGTCCTCATAAAGTTATAGGAGAATACAGTAAATTGTTTTAAGTACCTTTGAGTTCTCTTTTTTACATAAGGCCAAATTAATCAGAATGGAGGCATTATGGCTGTGATATTTAGAAAAAACAACAAAAGTCCAATCAGCAAATGGCTACTTTAAAAATTGTGTCAGGTTTTTTTACTTTGTTTTGTATTAGGGATCAAACTCACCATACACTCTTACAAGGCAGGCGATTATGCCACTGACCTAAATCCCTGGCCTTATTTTAAAAATTGAAAGATCTTGGCCCCTACTGAAAAGGGGTGGAATTTAATGACTGTCAATATTTGTATTATTGTTAGGATTCTCTGCCTGTGCTACTCAAATCAACTAACAGACCAGGTAACATCTCCAAATGTGTTCCTGAATCAGCTTCCATTAAATATAAAATTAAGTGGTTTGAAAATATTATGGTACAGTGTCTTTCACTTTGGAAATAGTTCGACTTGTTCATATTTCCAGTTATGTTTAATATGTAAATACTACCACATTCCATACCTGTTGGAACCAAATTATATACATTTTGCATGGGAACAGAGTAGAGCTAAAGTCATTAATCTACTCTGGAGAACTGAAAGGCTTTTTAAGCAATCAGTCAATCTTGACATCAGTTTAATGCCACAGATTATATCTTGTGCTTCTAGCATCATAAAATTTCATTAATCTCTGTCTTAGAGGCAGCAGAGCCTTATTCGTAGACTTATTTATAGTGACTATTTATGTTTCACACATTCACTTGAATCTTGCATCAAGAGGAGTGATTTGTGGTAATATTTTTGATTCTATAGACTTTATGATAGATATTCTACTTTAAACTGAAATAATGGCTCTTCATCACACTGCAGAATTTTGTGTGAGGGAGAATATGAGCCCCCCCCCCAATTCAGCATAAAAGTATCTCTCCTGGTATAAATATTCTGAAGCTATTTTGCAATCCTAAGAGCTTCTTTTGTTATTGTAGGTTGGACTACTATTAAAACTATGGATTAATCAAATATCTTTCTGACTCTTGGTAACATTTTTTTCACAGAATATCTTCATTTTTATGACTTGGGCACTTTTTACTTATTTGAAATTCTTCCCCAGGTGTGTGGATTTTAGCAGTGTCAATTTCCAAGTTTATGGTATACAACACAAATGCTCCTCCATTTTCAATGGATTACATCCTTAAACATTCTTTGTAAACTGAAAATCTGAAAATATACTTGAGTGTAAAACACATTAAACACATCTAAGCCTGAAATACCAGAGTTCAGCAAAACAGTCAGATCCAGTTGGCTTTTTTTTATTTTGTCAGGAATTGAACTCTGGACTCACGCTTGCCAGGCAGGAGCCTTGCCACTGAGCTACATCTCCTGCCCCTGATAAAGTTTTATTTGTAAACTCTCCCCATACTCTGAAGAGCTGGGAGCTGTGCTTCACCTGTCTGGCAGAGTGAGATTATAACCTCCCTATCCGTGAACAGACGAAAACAAAAGTTCTTACTTTCTACTGATTCTGTATCACTTTCCCACCTGAAACTCAAAAAATTGACAGCTGAACTACTAAAGAACATCTATATATAATACTTTATTCCAGATGTCACCAGAGATGAAAATGAGGTGGAAAGTATACAGGATCTCTCTTTATTATATTTAATAAATGTGGGCCAATCTACATGTATCTCTAAATAGAAGGCCAAGAGTTGACTGGGAAATACTGTACTATGGTGGAAATTACGGGTTTTTTTATGCCTCTTGGTGCTTACTTGCTCTGAACCACAGCCAAGCTGTGGTCTCTTTCTAAGCATTATTTGCTCCAAGGTAAATGTGGATAATTTCCTATGGAGTTATTGTAAAGACTAAACGAGATAACTTGCAGTTAAGAATCAAAATATCAGTTAAGTCTTTAAGAAATGATACATACCATTATTATTTGCATATGCAGGCTATGTTTTTTAACCAATTTAAGACACATTTTAGTTCAAAGACCAAATTACATATTCCAGATCTAAGTTACATGAATAAATACTATCTTTAAGCAAAATCTCATCTTACCACAAGCTTGCAAATACAAATAAGGAAGTAAAAATCAGTCGAAAGAACATCACAACAGAAAAGTCTGAGGACTTTTAGGAGTTAAGATTCTTAAATTAATTAGTGAATGACATAAAATTATGCCTTGCTCTTAATGCCAAGTAAAGAAGACAAAACACAGAACTGGTGTAGGGCAAGTGAAACTCTTTTACGTAATCTGGAATTGTGCTGGAGGAAAGCATAAGATAAACATAACTAAACGGCATGATCCAAACATTTTGAGTAGCCAGTTTAAATATGGAATAAAAACACACACCTTCTTAATTTGTATTGCTACAACCACACACTTCAGTTTCATGACATTGAGTCATAAAGTAGTAAGCTTCTTTGGGGGTCCTAGAAAGTGAATATAAAGGGCTCATTACAGAGGCAATAGATGGAGAGAGAAGCCAGTGTTCTTTAGAAGACCAAGTCAGAAAGAGATTTTCCTGATTTCAAAAGAAAACAAAGCATGCACTGCTGTGGTAGACTTGAGAATTCTTTGTATGACTTTGATCAGCAATGAGATTAGATAACTGAGAGTGTCAGTCATCATATTCCAGAAGGAAAGGAAAATATTTGTGTCAGAAAGTTTGTGATGACTTATAAAGAATCTCATCCAAAGGATGTGTCATATATCTTAACACCTCCTCGCTCAGGTATGGGAAGTCAAGTTTTGGCATGCAGAGTCTCTCTAATGCTTCAGTGGCTTGCATATTTCTTTCTCTAAAGCAGCTAATTACAAACAATGCTATTCCATTAACTTATAACCAGTGGTGTATTATTTTTAACACTATCAGAACGTTATCTCATTGGGAAAAAGTGTTTCCTTTAGCAGTGCTATAAAAATTTCACAGCCCAATTTCAGAGCAGGTATTAAGACACTGTACAACCTGACTCAAGATCTTGCACAACTATTTTCATTTCCCATCTCAGATTTTAAAAGTCTTACAGAGATAATTGCCACTTCAATCTCTTTTTTATTATTCTTCCAATAGAAAAAATACAGTTTTTAGTATAAACCTTAGCTTTAAGAGATCAGATTTGGAAATACTTAACGTAATTCATATTGTCTTTTAAAACAAGAGATGACAGCTTTTATCTTTCACCTGAAAAACTATTTGCACAGCAGGGGTATGAGCCAGGGATTCCCATGAAGACTTTTTTTTTTGGAGTCTGTCTTTTTCCTTTTTATTGGTACCAGGGATTGAACTCAGGACTGCTTGCTTGCAAGGCAGGTGCTTATGCCACTGAGCTAAATCCCCAGCCCCTCCCATGAGGACTTTTGTTCACACTTAAAACCTGACTTACCAATGGTAGCACACAAAAGGATCTGTGTGATGGCCCAACAACCTCTGGCCTGGGAACTCACCTGTGTTCTCCAGGTCCCTGGTGGTCTGTAGGTGCCACTTGCTAAGTATACAGGATCCTTGTAGAGCAGGATTTCACTGCTGTACTTAGTTCTTCCACTTTCATTTCCTCTTCCATTCATTCTAAATATCTGTTGATCGTTTATTATATTACAATACTGTACACAAAATGCCTCATTTCAAACTAGACACACCATGGATCCTTTCCGTTCTATGATAATATATTCAGTAGGTATTTACTAGGAGATTTTCTATTCTCCAGGCACATTTGCATTCCAATTTTACTTTCCTAGTCCTTGGTATAAATTTTATACTTCAGTGCTTTGTGAGTGTTACAATTATGAAAAATATGGTGCTGATGGGGTTTCTAGGATACTTGCTTCATGGAAATGAGCAATTTTTCAAGAGTGATAAGATAGGTGACATTGCCTTCATATGCATTTTTATTTTTGTTTACATTGCAAATGACTTTCTTTGTTTTTGTAAACACATAGGCAGAATCCACTGGAAAGCAGATCTAGAGTTATGCCTTCAGTCAAGAAGGCAGACAGAGCAGTGAATGCATGTCTCAGCACTGGTTTGAGTATCTTTCTATGCACACAAGAGTTACTCCTGGAGTTCTTTGAATTGTGGCATTATTATGATTCTTATCAATATTTTTTACAGGTCACTGATTATTTTGTATTTCTTAGAGTTTACTAGTTCTTTTTATTTCTTTGACTTTCCATTTCTTTCTTTCTTTCTTTCTTTCTTTCTTTCTTTCTTTCTTTTTTTTTTTTTTTTTTTTTCTTTTTTTTCTTTTTTGTACTGAGGATCAAACTCAAGACCTCACGCCTGCCAGGCAGGCACTTATGCCACTGAGCTAAACCTCCGGCCTTCATTTATTTATTTATTTATTTATTTTTTATTTTGTATGTTTTCTACACATCAGTACATTTATCATGGGGAACTGATATGTATATGTATTGCGCCTTGCAAATGACTTCTAAAGAAACTTCCATCTTACTTGCCTTTGCACCATAAAGTCGATTGTGACAAGACATACAATTTTAGCCACATTATTCATCACACTTTTCATCACTCAAAAGTAAAAAAGTCCCAGACTTGTTCACCTGGTTCACCAGCTTCTCAATTATCCATGACATCACAATGAATATCACTGTTTAAATGGGAAAACAAAGAGAGGTAGGAGATCTAAAAATTTGCTTTTCTTTCCTTAGTTCTTTTCCTCATATTTTCTAACCAGTCCAGAAACAACCTAACTTTAAGTAGAATTAGGGAAAGATTAATCAATACCCATACTTGTAAGTATGTGACTTTCTTAAAGTGAATGGCATGAGAATTACATGACACGAAAGCACCCCTTACAAAGCCAAGGTGGATTTCAGTACATATTTATGCTCTTCCACCTCACTTAGCAACAGATGCTTCCTGACTTCTGATGGGGTTTCATCTGGATAAACCCAGGAGCAGATGAAAATATGCAAGTCCAACAGTGAACTTAGTGCACATAACATACTGAACATCACAACTTGTAGGCAGAGCACACTGTAAAGAGAATGCCACTTTCCTTTGTGATCGCAGTGGCTGAGATTTCCTGTTGCTACCAAGCTTCCAGAACAGGTCCACACTGACTATCACACCACCAGCCCTAGGAAAGAGCAAAATTCCAAGTATGGCTTCTATTGAACGCATATTGCTTTGCCATGATGGTAGAGCTGAAAACAAACCATAACTAGAACCACCAAAGGCGAGAACCACGTGTTTTTTAAAGTTGATGTTATTAGGCACTTCCTTTCCAAGAGCAGACAACATACTCATCTTTCAGAATTAATCCCTTTTGGAGAGACTTTCATTCCAGTGTTGTTGTAAAACTATTTATGGATGGAAAACAAGTTATATTTAAAATCAGACTCATGTGAATCCAAAGTAATATTAGTGCATTGATAATATTACTCAAATAGACAAATATTTGTAGATTAAGCTGATAAAGTCATAAAATATATGGATTGCATGATGAATCCTTTAGTTATATCTATCCTCGGTAACAAACAAAGCATTTTTGCAATTCCAGTGAAACCAGTGAGAAACTAGGTATGGATTAACCAAGGAACAAAGCTTCCTGTGAGCTTGTCTCACAGGAGCACACCAGAGATCAGCTAAAACCCAGCTGTCTGCTGTTGAGCGTGCTCAAGGGATGAGCTTTTGAGGTCACCAACTCAACACCCTCAGTCACGTAACCCCCTGAAAAGCAGCAAGCTACTCCTGAAGAGGTACAGTGAGCCTCAACATGAAGAAGAACCCTAAAAATTCCCTTTCTCACCATCTATTCAACAAAGAGTCTCCCCTCTTCCTTCCAATAAATTCCCAGCTACCAACCAACCCCTCTGGGAGGTGGACAAAGCGAGATTCTTGTTTCCAAGACCCAGTGCCCTCACCAGAAGTTCTTTCTTTTTTCAAAACACTGGTGTCACAACATAGGCTCCTAAGCACAGCAGCCATCCAGCCCTTTCTCAGTTTCACTCCGGACTTGACCAGGCATGACATGAATTTGAAAACAGTTCAAGATACCCCAAGTCAGCAGTCAGCATTAACCTGTATCTGCGCTTCTTTGACCCTGAAAAAAAAAGCATAACCTGATCACGGCCATGCTCTAATGGGACTCATCGCACCTGACAGAGGGACAGACCTGGAATGATAAAGCCAGGGCATCCGTTATTGCTAAGTCCTGGATGTATTCACGCACTTTCTGAATATTTTGTTAAGCAAATATAAAATTAATTTCTAGTAAGGCTATCAATATGTAAATTGCATAAATAAGATAAAGAGAATGAAAATGATGGTGATTTTAGCTCTCTTCTTTCTTGGAACTAATGATTCTAATGACACTTTTAGAAGGCACAATTCCTGAAGTCCAAAGAAAAGTGGAAAAAGCCAACAGTGATACAGTTTTGGAAATGCAAATCAGGCAGACACTGGCCACTTGGCTGTTGGATCTGACACAGTATGGTAAGAACATGGTCAAGGAGCAATCCGCTGGGTGCACAGACTCTGGGAGTGGGTGGCACTTCCAGAGACCTGCAGAGGGGATCACATAGGTGGAGTAAAAACATGAGAACTGGCTGAAATCCATTGATGAAACTACCTGACACCCCCAAATACATTTCCCTTCTTGGCAGAAGAATGACTTATTCCCTGTTCAGATTGGCTCCTTGAAAAGACACACACACACACACACACACACACACACACACACACACACACCTGAAAACATATGCACTGACACATCCAAGAAGAGTAGAGCATGGAACAGTCTCACTACGAGAGAGGAATCGAGTAGAAACATCACATTGAATGCTGGGAGTCCGGGTCTTACTCTACTTGTCACTCAGTTTATGGAATTGCCACTGGACATTTGTAGACTCAGAAAAGAGATAAGGGCAACAGGTATCTGTGTGTTTGTTTCAGCAGTACTAGGGAGGGAATGCAGAACCTTCACACCGAGCTACATCCCAGCCCTTTTAAAAATTATTTTTATTTATAGTTTTTGCTTATTTTTATTTTATTGATATATGTTTTAAATATATGATTAGATTCATGGGGGAGCAACTGCTACATGTGTATGACGTTTCTTAATTCTATTTTCAAACCCATCCCATTTCCTCATTCCCCCCACCCTACATCCCTGGGACCACTTGATACCTGTATGCGTGCACGTCTTTGTATTTTATATATGTTTGTAATGCATGATCACATTCCTCATGGAGACTTTTTACATTTACACAGTGCTTCACCATCTCCCCTGCATCCACGATAAATAAATCTCATTTCCCTCCACTCCAACCTCCATTTCCCAGACTGGTTTTGAATTTGCAATTTTCCTGCCTCAGCCTCTCAGACTGCTGCAATTACTGTTTTTAAAGGCACTGACTCAACCAGATAATTTGCAAAGTAAATGGTCAGTAATCCTGACCAGGTGCACGGAATGCTCAATCGGCTTTTAAGTGGCCAACTTGAAATTTGGATTTAGAGAAGATGACAATGAAGTCTGGAGATCCCATAGAGGAATATTTCAATTATGCTAAGTCATAAAACATTTATCTCAGATGCTGACATTTATCCATAAATTCACTGGTGGGTTATTCACTTCAGAAACACAGAACTACCACAGAGGAAGACAAAAAATTTCAGGACAAGGAGATGGATCTCAAGACATTGTTGAAGAGAATTTCTAGGAAGGGGGCTGTAGGGGATCCCCAAAGTGACAGTGCAGCAGCAGTCCTGTGGGGAGCAGTGCAGAATACAGTGGGCCAGGAGATTTCTCCAAGGATTTCCTCATGAATATGCAACTGGGGTAAAGAAAAGATTTACACACTCTGAGGAATGGAGATCACTGCTACACAAGGATCAGTGGTACACAGAAAAACTAAGTAAACCCAAGGTAATACAACTTCCAGTGAAACACAAAAGGGCCAGAAAGGAAATAATAGATTCCCAGTTCACCAGTGAAAAGATTCCATAACCCCCTCGAGGTACACTTTGAGTTTGGAGGAGATACACGCAAGATAACAGAGAGGATAGAATGATGGGAAGTGTCTATGTCTGTCTTGGTTACTTTTCTCTCTTTGCTGAAACCAAATACCCAATGTCCAAAATGAAGGAAGGAAAGATTTATTTAGCTCACAGTTTGTGAAGGTTTCAGTCCATAATCAGCTGGCTCCCAGGCAGGGAGGCACGACAGAGAGGCAACCATTCTTTTTGGTGGAAAACAGCAAAAACAACAAGAGCAAAAGGGGAAAAGAGAGAGAGGCAGAGCAAGCCTTTTCCCCTCCCTTATATTGTATGCAGGCTACCACCACAGGGCAAGCATAGTACTCACACTCATAATCCCATCACTGGACCATAAGTCATTCACAAACTCTAGAAGCATGCCCCAGGACTGCATGAGGTTTTGTGGGGACATCCAGACACAAACTGTAACAGTGTCCGACAATGGAAAGAAAGAAACAAAAGCCTTCTATTCCAGATTGAGAAGTCAACTGACAAAAGGATCAAGAAGTAACAAGATAAGCATATTATGTGCAGATGTGAGGACAAATTCTAAAAGCATCAATTAAAAGGGCAGGAAGTG